TGAAGCCCTCGGGCTGGAAGGAGACGGTGTTTTTAACCTGTTTTCCTCTACGGGTGCGGGGGAAACCGAGGCCTCATTTGGGTAAGAGACTAGAGGTTACTGGAAGGTGGGATCCCTCCTAATCACCCTCATTTCCATCACCCAGGGACCCAGAGGCCACACTGAGCTAGGGAGGTGATAGTTTGTGGTTCGTAAGACCGTCAAGAGAGTTTGTTGATTGACTTTCTAACCACAAATCCCATCAGACAAAAGGCGCGCGTGAGAGAGAGAGAGAGAGAGAGAGAGAGAATGTTTTATTTTAATAAAAAATTACTTCCATAACCAGGTGTGGTGGTGCACCCCTTTAATCTCAGCATGAAGGAGGTAGAGGCAGGCAGAGTTCAGCCAGCCTGGTCTATGTAATGAGTTCTGAGAGAATCAGGGCTACATTGTGAGACCCTGCCTTTAAAACAAAAATTTAACAGTCATTAGTGTGTGTGTGTGTGTGTGTGTGTGTGTGTGTGTGTGTGCATGCCACAACCAGTGTGTGGGGTTCAGACGACAGCCTCCAGGAGTGGGTCCTGTGCTCACACTCAGCTCCTCGGGTTCAGCACAGAGTGTTTTACCTGCTGAAGAACGGCCTCCTCCAGGCGCTGGAACAGCAGCTCTCCCTCCTCGGGGTCCTCCTGCCTGTCATAGACTTTGTGATTTCCTCAGCAATCACTCACTCAGAGCTCAGGCCTGAGAGTCTGGCCCTTGGCCCACCCAGGGCTTGTGTGTCACCCACATAGCAGCCCCCAGTGTCCCCATCAGTTCTACTCAGCACCACTGCAGACCCTCCTCTGACTGCACGGCGCTTTTCCTCCAGGACCTGGCCCCACTCTGCCCTGGATGACCTTGCCCTCTCACTTGCAGTGTTGAACGCAGTTGAACGCTCCCGTCCTGGCTGGACATCACTGGGAAGTACTTGGGTGTGGAAGCCACCTCCCCAGTTCTCAATGTCCCCCTTATGCCCGACATATTCATACTGGGCTGCTCCCTCCTCCCCACATTCCATCACCCCAGCATCTGGGGCAGAGGCCCTGGGGTCGGCCTGTGGCTGGGTAATTTGCATGGAAGTACAAATAGATCTGCCCAGCCTCCGCCTCTGCACTCCTCTCGCCTGTCACACCTGGGCACAGGGTCTGCAGCCCGTGCTGAGTGAGTGGAGATTTGCATTCTCTCGTGTATTTCTGGGTGTCCGATGGGGAAGCGTCTAAGAGGAAGTGAGCAGGAAGGGGGGGGGAATGTCTCATGTGTGAAGGTCAGAGGTCATTGGGTATCTCGGTCATTCTGCCCCTGGCCATCTAAACTCTCTGCCTCCCAAGACTACAATTAAAGGCCTGGCTCCACCTTATTTGAGACAAGGTCATTGAATAAGCCTGGAGTTCTGCGATTTAGCCTGACTGACTGGCCAGGAAGCCCCACCTCCCCAGGGCAGATGACTTTTTATGTGGATGCTGGAATTTCAACTCATGCCCAGGCAGAGCCCTGGCCTCCCATCCACCCCCTAGCTGCTTACACCCTGACCCCAACCTGCTCCCTTGAGAGTTTGAGTGTCAGCCCAGTGTTCTGGAGCCCGAGACAGGGGGATCAGGAGTTGAAGCCAACCTAGACCCTGTCTCAAAAAATAAAAATGAATACATAGCTAGGAGTGGTGGCTGTGCCTTAGCACCAGCGCTGGGGAGGCATCCCTTCTCTGAGCACTCCACCCTTGTTCTCCCCTCACCAAAGTCCCTTCCTCACAGTTCAAGGACACAGAGAGCTGCCCTCAGGTCTTCTAGGACCCAGGGACTCAGGTCCAAGCCTGGCCTGGCCCTCATGGGACCCGGGACTGGGGCATTTCCGGAGTCATTTTGGCCAGGGGAACCTCTGGTCCAGTGCCCCCCTTCAGCCTCCAGGGACCTGCCTGGGTTCTGACCACACATCCCAGCCCTGGGAAAGGCATGACTCCAGCAAAGGGTAAAATTAGCGAGGGGTTAAATTTAGTAAGAGAATCTGGAGCAGGGCCTGCTCTTCCTGGATCTGTTCCTTGGACTTGACTTGGAGACCCAGCTCAGAGAGGGTGGAGGCTAGCCCACAGCATCTCACCTATGCCAGCTGAAGTATTCCACACCACTGGATACAGGACTCCCAGGAAGATGGGAGCCACAGCCAGACCAATTGGGTTGGGGACAAGAGAGTAGCCCTAGCCAGCTCACTGGATCCAGACTTCTTTTTCTTTTTAAGGGAGGGAAACAGGGTTTTATGTAGCCCAGGCTAACCTCAGATTCACTTAGCCTTAGATTCATTTAGCTAATACTCTTCCCCCACTTCCTCAGTGCCAAGATGACAGGTGTGTGCCACCACACCTGTTTTGTGTTTGTTTGTTTTTTGTTTTAAGACATAGTCCCACTTTGTAGGTCTTGTAGGTCTGACTGACTGGGAACTCCAAAGCTCAAGAAGTCCCATGCCTCTGTCTCTGGAGTGTTGGCAGCCCAGGCTGGCCTCAGCCTCCCAAGTGCTAGGATCACAGGTGTGAGCCACCCTCTGAAGCCCCCAGCTCTCGTGTTCTGAGCTCATCACCAGCCTAGAGTAGCACTGGGCGTGCCCTGTCTACCTGGACACCTGTTGCCCACCCACCTCTCCAGACAGCAGGTGGGGGCTGTGGGGGACAGATGCAGGCCCGTGTGACCCGAGGTGACCACTGACTGGAGAGGCTGTATGGCCCCAGAGTCTGCAGAGAGGACTATCTTCAAGGGAGTAAGGGCCCCTGTGTCTATCTTGTCCTCCCTGTGGGCAACAGATACCTTTGTATCATGAAAGGACTCTAGAGCTACCTGATCCCCAACACAGTGGCCTTCTCTTGCTACAATGTGAGTTTGAGGCCAGCCTGGGCTACAGAGACCTTGTCTCTTAAAATTTTTTTTTTTAAAAAGAGAGAGAGAAAACAAAACAAAAAACAAAAAGCTCAGATCATCTGAGAAGGGTCAGCTACTTCTCTGTCTCAAAGGCATGTGTCCCAGGCCCAGCCTTCAGCCTCTCTGGCCTGGGTCTCTGGGAGCCCAGGCTTGTAATGCAGGATGTAGTGCCCTGGGCTGGTGGGAACCCTAGCCCTCTTCTCTTTCCTCTTTGTGTATGTACATTTGGAGATCAGAGGCTGATGTGGGATGCCATGATTTACTGCTTTCAGTGTGTGTATTGTACATATGTATGTATATGCACATGTGTGTGCATATTTGCATGTGCATGTATGTGCATGTCTGTGTATGCATATGTGTGTGCATTATGTATGTGTGCGTGCATGTGTGTGCACTTGTGCAAAGGACACTGGGTGTCCTGCTCTATCACTTCCCACATTATTCTTTTCAGACAGGGTCTTTCACTGAACTGGGATCTAGGCTCGCAACCACCGAGCCCCAGTGCTCTTCCTGTGCCTCTATTCTTATCACTGGGGTTAGACATGAGCACCTAGATTTTACGTGGGTCCTGAGATTCAAATTCGGGTCATCATTCTCGTGAAGGCAGAGCTCTAACCCCTGGAATCTTCTCCCTAGATCACATTTCATGGTTTTGAGACGTTGTCCTTCACTAACCCCAGGGCTGGTTCCTCAGTTAGGCTCTGCTGTGGTGCTGGGTGTTGTAGTCAGGTCCTCACGCTCCTGAGACAGTCCCACCATGAAGCCCAGGCTAGACTAGAGTTCCTCGACTCCAGCAAGGCTCCTGCCTCAGCCTCTGAGTGCCAGCATCCTCAGTGTACCGCCCTTACCCAGCTCAGAAACTTTATCTTGTTTTCTTTATTTGAAGTAAGTTCTCACCACAGCCCAGACTAGTCTGGAACTGCTGGAGGCCAGGGAGACCCAGGATCTCTACTATGGAGGCCAGGGACTTCCCAAGTCCCCATGTTGACCCTTTAGTGGAGTTCCCAGTCTGCCAGGGGTGACTTTTCCTCAAGTCCATGCAGTAAAAAACACAGCAGAGCATTTTCCTGAGGGGATGTGGTGACCACACCTGTTCCACTGGCACCCTGGAGGCTGAGGCAGGAGGATTTTGTTCTACTTAGCAAAACCATGTCTCAGAACACTCTCCTTCCATGTCCCATAGTGAAAATGTGGGGAGCCCCAAGGCCCAGATGGTGTGTGACCCATGTATGGAGAGATCTAGAACAGGATCCCAGAGCCAGAAAGCAGAGGGAATGGGGGGTGGGGTGGGGGCAGCTGCAGCCTGATGACCATGGAATGTTCTGAAATTAGACTGAGGTAGTGGTTAAACACTATGGAAAACACACTAAATGCCATTTAACTGTGCACATTAAACTAGTGAATTGTATGCAGAATTCACTAAATTAAGGAAAGAAAAGAGCTGGGTGTGGCACATGCCTTTAAGCCCAGTGGTCTGGAGGCAGAGACAGGTCGATCTCTGTGAGTTTGAGGCCAGCAACATTGCAAGAACAGCCAGAGCTACATGTAGAGATCCTGTCTCAACAAAACAAAACAAACAAACAAAAAAGAGGGTGAATGAGGTGGCTCAGCTGACAAAGACATCTGCTGTCTATCCAAGTGCCTGAGTTCCATCTGCAGAACTAGACCAATATGGTGGACAGAGGGGGCCTGTCTCCACTTACGCCCCCCACCCCACATACGTGCATATGAGCACACAGCAGTGGGCAAACAACCTCCATTTCTGTGTCCACTGTCCAGAGGGCATCCTAGTGACCCTCTCCATTTGAGTAAGTGATATACTCTGGACGGTCCTTTGGATGACCTCCATCTCCAGGAGGAGCTGAGGCTGGCCTGGATCCCAGCTTCCTAGGTGGAGGGATCTGGAAATGCATGGATCTCCACAGTGCATTGCATTTACTGAAACCCAGCAGGGGCTGTCTGGGTGACCTGGCCTGCCTTCCTTCTCCTTGTCATCACTGGGGTTCAGAGACTTGGAAGTGGGCAGGGCAGAGGCTGCCACTGTTGGCCTCGTTCCAGCCATTCCCTCCTGCGCTCTTTCAGAAGAGTCACTCGGCTCAGCCAGGCAACGATGGGAAGGAAAAAAATCCAGATCTCACGCATTCTAGACCAAAGGAACAGGCAGGTGAGTCCCAGACTGCATCACCATTGGGGGAGGTGGCATTCGGGGCAGGGGCACAGCCAGGCTAAACAAATGGTCTTGCAGAGAAGTCTGAGTCCTGAGGCCCTTTTGGGGAGATGAGACAGAAACCGTGGGTTCTGCTTCCCCGGGCCCAATCTTCTCAGAAGACAACTGGACACTTGGGGAGTTGTAAATACGCAGAGAAGTTTCCCAGGCTCGGATGGAAACTAGAGCAGAGAAGCTCGCTCTGCAGTTCCCTCCTTTAAGGCCCCCACCCCGCCACACCCCACCTCGCCTCTGTGGTGCAGGTGACATTCACCAAACGCAAGTTCGGGCTGATGAAGAAGGCTTACGAGCTGAGCGTGCTGTGTGACTGCGACATCGCACTGATCATCTTCAACAGCGCGCAGCGCCTCTTCCAGTACGCGAGCAGCGACATGGACCGGGTGCTGCTCAAATACACCGAGTACAGCGAGCCGCATGAGAGCCGCACCAATGCGGATATCCTGCAGGTACCTGAAGCTACCTGAAAGGCCCCGGGAGCATCCCAGCCATGCTACATGACCTCGGTAGCTTCTAAGCTACTCCGTGGGGACTTGAACCTCGGGGGACTTACTGTGAATTTAGTTTCTGGGTCTCCCAGGAGCAGGCCATGTCTATCGTGTATCCCTCCAGCAGACTAGCCCGAGAAGGTCTCCTCTCTCAGGTACCCTAGAACCAAGTCGGGTAAGATCGGAGGGCCCACCCCGCCATCTGCTGTTCCCACAGACCCTGAAGAGGAGGGGCGTGAGCCTGGATGGGCCTGAGCTGGAGGTGGAGGAGGGGTCAGACGGGCCTGGAGAGAAGCTGCTGAGGACGCTGGGAGGTGACAGAGGCTCGGCTTCGCCCCTGCCTCGGATCTATGTAAGAGAACTTTCCCTGTTCCTTCTAATCTCTCCGACCTCCAAACACACTTCCAATACAGAGTGTGATCTCGTCCTGGGAAAGACCCAGGCTTTGAAAGACAACAAAAAGAGTTGAAAGAGTTCAACAAACAAGTCTTCGGGCCACCATTCCCCTAATGATCAGACACCCCATGATCGGTAGAGAGAGGCCTGGACTCCGAACCAGGCTGATGGAGCCCACCCGGCAACCCCAGTCTTGTATCTAGGTCTAAATCTCCAGACAGACCCTCATTCTCCCACATCTCTGTCCGCAGCCGGTGGCCCCTGCGATGTCGGTCTCAGAGCTGTCCTACCGGGTTCCACTCGCCCCACCCGGCTGCGACCCCAGTGGGTTGGGGGAGGACCCGTCTGTCCACAGCCTCCCGCCCCTCTTTCGGCCCCCGGGTGAGCATTAGAAGCAGCCAGAATGGGGAGAGTGGAAGGGCACGAGGATCCTGGCTCTGGTCTCGCTGGTGACACTACCATCCCTCTCTCCCTGGGTCTTCCCCCCAGGCCTGGGACACCCCATCTTCTCTCCGAGCCACCTTGCCGGCAAGACGCCACCACCCCTGTACCTGGCGACTGATGGGCGGAGGCCAGATCTGCCCGCGGGTCTGATGGGGGCCCGAGGGGGACTGGGCATCTCGGTAAGGGGGGGGATGGGAGAAGACGGAGGAGGAAGAGAAGGATGGAAAGTAGAGGGAAAGAGGAAGGGAGGAGGCAGGTGGTCACACCCGGCCTCAGTTTTCTCTCCTTGTATTCCCGGCAGAGGAGCCTGTACAGCGGCCTGCAGAGCTCCGCCGCCGCCCCAGGCCCCGCTTTGGGTAGCTTTGCCTTCCTGCCAACAAGTTCCGCAGGTGCGCCCACCCCGTCCGACCTGCCTGCCCGTTAGAGTCCCTCGCCCCAGCCCTGAGTCCCGGCGTGGGGAGGGCCCGGGTTCTGACAGGAGCCCCGCTCAGCCAGCCTCTCCCGGCAGATTGCAGCCCCGGAGACACCGCTTCGCTCCCCCTGCAGTCCTCTCCCTGGCCCCCGACGAGGGACGCGGTGGACCCAGCCCGGCCGGGGTGAGTTGGGTGCCCCTTGGCGGTCGGGAGACTTGCCTGGATTGGGTTGTGGGTGGACTACGAGATTTAGAGGGGACTCACAGAGCTCCACGGCGGGTAAGCTTTCTCATCTACCTTGTAAGATCTCTCACCATCCTGCCTCCCTTGTCTCCTCTCTCCAGCAGCGCCCGCAGCATGTGTGAGGAGGGTCCCCCCAGCCGAGTGGCCTCCCCTCAAACGCCCCCGATCAGCATTAAGTCCGAGCGTCTGTCCCCTGCCACTGGGGCCTCTAGCGACTTCCCCAGGCCCTACCCCTACCCCCTGCTCCTCACCAGGCCCCTAGCGGAGCCACTTCGGCCTGCGGCCTCCCTGAGTCGCTTGACCCCTGACGGCTGGCCGCGGTAGCGCCCAGAAGACTCCTCTCAACCTCCACGGACATCCCGCAGTCTCCGGTTCCCTGCACAGCCAGGAGGGCGAGGGCACGCGATGCCCCTCACTCGTGAGGCCCCTGTTCCTTCCTGGGGCCGCTACATCAATAAAGCCCAGGGCTCCGGGAGGGCGCTGGGAAGCCCCCCTCCCCCAGCCTCCCGAGCATGAGGTATCCATACCCAGTCTCTCCTTTAAGTCCACAATGGTTTGGGGGCGCACGTCGTAGAAACGGATTCCAGGAGGAAAAAGGCCAGGTGGAGGGTAGGGATGTGACCAGAGAAGGAGCCATAGGGGACGCCACTAAGAGCAAGCCAGAAGGCCTGAGCTGCTCTTGGAGGTGTGAGTCTGAAGTGAGCTCACAGTCGTGTCGCCAGGGTTGCTGAGAGCGGGTTGACTCTGGTGACCAGGAGTTCTAGGTGAGCCTGGGACAAGAAAGACACTGCTTTAAAAAAGTAAACAGGAGACCACCCTAAAATGGCTCAGGGGGTAAAGACACTTCCCGATCTTGTCGACCTGAGTTTCTATTGGTGGAAGGAAAGAACTAACTGCCTGCAAGTTGTCCATTGACCGCCACGGGCATACACAAGGACTCACAAGATGAACGAATAAATGTATAAATGGGGAGAGGGAGGAAAAAAGATTCAGCGGCCGGCAAGAGAGCCTGCTGTGCAAGCATTAGAATCTGAGTTCGAATCTCCAGCACCCATATAAAAAAGCCGGATGTGGCCTGGGTGCCAGCGAGGTGGAGATAGAATCGCTGGGGCTTAGTGGCAGAGGATGGAGAGCCACAGAGTAAGACTCACGATTCCCCGCCCCTTCTCTGGCCTTCTTGGCTGTGTTGGCACCATCCCACAAGAAGACAGACATAAAATATGCAAAAACAAGTGGGGAAAGCCGCGGGAGCTGGGAAGGCGGGGCTCTGGCTCTGCACCCTTCCTCCTCCATGTGTGTCCAGGTGAAGAGTTGGCCCAGAGGGCACGATGATAGTTATGGGTCCTGCAACTAGAGTCCAGCCCCCAGCGCCCTGGCAAGCACAAGCTCAGCTTGTAGCTCGGCCTGCACACGCCACTAATCCCAGCTCTGGCAGAGACTCACTGACTGTTAATCTAGCCTAGAGAACTCAGCCCCTGGTTCAGGCAGAGGCCCTGCCTCAAGGGGACATCTAACTTTCTCATGGCCTTTTCAAGGGGACTGGCAAGTATACCCTGGAGCTCACACATACCCTTATGAGTATCACACACGACTTTCAGTTTCTAAAGGGGAGAGTCCCCCTAAGGCAGTGCAGATGGCTCAGCCAGTGGGTATGGTGGGTGGCACTCGGAGTTCAGTCCCCAGAGGAAACTCACGGGGTGGAAAAGGCAAACTAACTCCACAATTGTCCTCCCTCCACGTGCAACCCTGCCACGCCTCCTTTCCCAGAACATAAGTCAGTGTTCTCAACACTGGCATCTCCTTTGGGGAACAAAGGACCCTTTCAAAGGGGTCACCAGAGATCATCAATCAGAAAACATGGATATTTACATTACGACTCATACAGTAGAAAAATTGCAGTTATGAAGTAGCAACAAAAGTCATCTTATGGTGGGGTCACCATAACATGAGAAACTATTAAGGGTGCAGCATTAGGAAGGTCGAGAACGGCTGACAGAAGTCAACGTGGAAACAAGCTTTTAAAAACGGGCTCCTAGGCTCAGCTCTCCCCACCACCCGAGCCCCACGATGCACAGTTGACTGTGTTCTGGTGCAGGAAGGAGGAGGAAGGGTTGCTCCAGCCTTGGGTAGGGTCTTCCACACCCTCTGTGACCTTCTACTCTGCCCTTCCTGGCTCTGCTGTCCTTCCCCAGCTTAGTGCCTGGGATATCACGGGGCAGGAGGCAGGAGGCTGGCTAAGTGCCCTGCTCACTCAGGTCCAGACACAGAACTGATGGGCGCTGGCCGCACATAAGCAGGGTTGGGAAGCCCAGAGGGACCTGGGCAGGCCACCGGGTTCTAGAAAGGTTCTCAGCTTCCACAGTCTAGACCTTGAGTTGGGAGGGGATAGGGAGGTTTTAAGAAGTAAACAGGCCTGAGAGGCTGGGAGTGGTGTCCTAAGCCTCTCAGGCCTGAATTAGGGCAGTTAGCCAGCCCCCTGCCTCGGGCCCCAGTGATATCCCAGACATCCACATAGATTCATAAATGATGACAGGCTCACACACTGAGACCATACAGGCATCTTGTCCATGGGCATGTACCCTCAGTCGTGTCCAGGATTTCATACTCAAGAAGCCCTCTCTCCAAGCCACCAGAGAAATGCCATAGGGTCCCAAGGTCTGGACTGAATTCTGTATCAAGTTATGTCTGAAGCTGAGGTTGTTGTACATGATGGGTTTTGTTTGTGAAACAACCAGGGACACCCCCCCCCCAGCTCTCACTGGTCTCAAATCACAACCCTCCGGCTTCAGCCACCTAAGTGCTGGGTTACAGGTATGCGATACCACACCACCTTGTGAATCCAGCGTATTCCAGCATTTTCTATTACATGAACCAAGATTTTCCCTTTGTTGTTTGAGCCTTTAGGAATTTTAAGGTTTATTTTATTTATTTTTTTAAATATTTATTTATTTATTATTTATTTATTTATTTATTTATTTATTTATGTGTGCAATATTCTTCCTGTGTGTATGCCTGAAGGCCAGAAGAGGGCACCATTACAGATGGTTGTGAGCCACCATGTGGTTGCTGGGAATTGAACTCAGGACCTTTGGAAGAGCAGGCAATGCTCTTAACCGCTGAGCCATCTCTCCAGCCCCAGGTTTATTTTATTTTAAGATTTATTTTAGCCTGGCGGTTGTGGCACACGCCTTTAATCCCAGAACTCGGGAGGCAGAGGCAGGCAGATCTCTGGGAGTTTGAGGCCAGACTGGTCTACAAGAGTGAGTCCCAAGACAGGCACCAAAAACTACAGAGAAATTCTGTTTCGAAAATCACAATGTTTCTCTTACTGGCCTGGATATCATTATGAAGACCATGCTAGCTCCAAACTCACGAAAATAGGCCTGCTCTGTCTTGCTAGTGCAGGAATTAGGGATGTGAGCCACAAACCCAGGCAGTACCTCCTATAAAAAATTATTATCTGGTATTGTATCTGTGTGCAAGGACATAATATATATGTGGGTGGTGTAGAGGTCAGAGGTCACCTTTGTAGCATGAATAATAAAACCCCAGAAACAGATATTGGGGTTCAAGCTGAAGATCAGAAAAGTAGAACAAGCTAGCCACTAGAAAAGTCTTACATCTCCCAAGGCTGAGCGACTGCAGATTGAGCTCAGAGCCTTTGTCTCCTCTGGTTTTATATTCCCTCTAGTGCTGGGATTAAAGGTGTGAGCCATCACTACCTAGATCTGTTTCTGCATTGATCTCACATAGCCCAGAATGGCCTTGAACTCACAGGGATCCATCAGCATCTGTCTCCCAAATCCTGGGATTAAAGATGTGTGCCTGGCCTCTGCTGGCTTAGTTTTTCTGATCTTCAGCAAAGCTTTATTTATTAAAAAAAAAAAACCACTATATTTCCCCATTTTGTCTAAAAATTTAAAAGGGCTATAACTAATATAAGAAAAACTGTATACAATAAGTAAGTAACTATCTACAATATATACAGGCAATAAGTACATCGACAATGTACTTACATTGGACAAATTCAGAGAAAATACTCTGTATCTATCCTATCTTGGTGAGTCCAAAGTTTTGTACCTAATTTACTTTCTATCATAACTTGCATTACCATCCAAAACTATCTTTTGTTATCTCTCAAACTTATATACTTTGCATTTCTTTAGTGAATTTCTTTTAAGATTCTTGCAAACAAGGGAAACTATAACCATCTAGTCTTCCACTCTCTCGAGACCTGAGAAGGAAACAATACTAGCTGAATAAGCAGGAAGTGCAAACAATGGATTTTGAAAATGTGAGAAATAACAAAGAGCTGGCTGCCTGGACAGCTACCCAAGTTCCTCTGCAGCACTGGGGCAGCCATCTTCAAGCTACAAGGACTAGAATATCTGACAAACTATGAAGCAGGGTTTTCTAAGGACTGTCGCGCCTTGTCTGGGCAAGGTTTGACAGTCACTCTCTTTTGTGTCCTGCTTGTCCCATTAGGACAGCATACAGTCAGCAGTTGAGGCAAGGGCACTTTCTTACCCAGTGCCTTAGTTTTGCCACAAAGAAAGCAAAGTCCAGGTCTCTGAAGTAGATTGGTGATGAACGGACCTGATGCAGGAGGTCCTTCTGACTATGTGTTGCGTTCATTGGTTGAATAAAGAACCTGCCTTGGCCTTTTGATAGTGCAGAAGAACTTATGATAGGTGGAGTAGACTGAACTGAACGCTGGGAAGAAGGCAGTGTGGCAGACGCCATTGTTCTCCTGCCAGAGATGGATGCTGGTTAGATTCATGCTGGTCAGCCACAGTCAAGTGGCAATACACATTAATGGAGATGGGTTAAACTAATATGTGAGAGTTAGCCAATAAGAGGCTATAAATAATGGGCCAGGCAGTGATTTAATTAATACAATTTCTGTGTGATTATTTCAGGTGTAAGCTAGCTGGGTGGGAAGAACAAAAGGACCTGCTCCTCCTGTTACAACGGACCAAATGATGAACAGACACTTAAAAGAAATCCCACACTCGCTCAGAAATGAGAAACAAATAGTTATTTATTTAGGGGTAAACTCACTAATCAGAATTCTCTGCTTGAATGGTAGACATAGATCCAATCCAGCAATCCAACAGTCAGAACGAGCAGCCAGCACAAAGGAGTGAAAAAAGGGCCGGACACAGCCTCTGCATCCACGTATATAGTGTAAGAGGCCACACCCCAGTGGGCGGGTAACCACTGGCTGCAAGCCTTCCTACAGCACCTCCTCCTTTTTTTTTTAAATATTTATTTATTTGTTTTTATTATGTATACAGTATTCTTCCTGCAGGTCTCATTACAGATGGTTGTGAGCCACCATGTGTTTGCTGGGAATTGAACTCAGGACCTTTGGAAGAGCAGGCAATGCTCTTAACCACTGAGCCATCTCTCCAACCCCCACCTCCTCCTTTTTTAAATAAGAGTTCTAAGCCTAATACAAAATTATACACAATAAGAACAAATATCCTATCCTAACTAGCTTA